AAATGTGAATGTGTTACCTAAAATGTAAATTTGTTTTCTAAAATGTAAATCTTTTTTTTTTTTTATTTTAACTTTTTTTTCAAAAATACATTTGTTTCATAAAATATAATTTTGTTTCTTCCAATGTGGTTTTGTTTTTGAATTGTAAATGTGTTTTGCACTTCTCAGCCACCGTACTAAATGCCTGGCTATCCATTCAGTATCCAACCTTTTTACGTTTTCTTCTTTTCTTTCTTGTATGTAAACAGCTGCTGACTTCATCAGTTACAGCTGGGCTTGGATGACAGACTGAAGAACTGATTTACATTTGAGCTTTATAACAGTCCACCTTTCTTTCCGTGTTTCAGCAGTCAGTGCTGAGGTCAAACATGTCTTACCAAGAACACTAACGAAGGCGTTGGCCAGCAGGTAGCCGTGCTGGTTTGAGGCGTTGCACTGGTAGACAGCGCTGCTGGCGATCTGCACCTCCCGGAAGAGGATGGTATCTCCAAGCACTTCTCTGTTGGCATTCGGTGAAGCAGCTATGATCGAAAGCAAAGAGAAACATCAGGTAGAACATAATCTGTGCATTTATTAAAAACGATATTTTATTTAATAACAGGGATGCTGCTGCATGTCCAGTATTTCATTATTCCTTCCAGTTTACAGTGGCAGCGTTTAGCTGAGCGAGGGATGATGTTCCCCACTGACCTGAAGGCTGTGGCTGCAGCTATAGGCTAATCAGGGCCGGATTTACCGTTAAGCAAAACTAGACGGATGCCTAGGGCCTCAAGTTCCTGGGGGCCCCATAAAACTCTGATTCCACGTATGGTTAATACAACTATTCCTTATTTGTGCACAATAATTATGATTTGATAAAAATCCTTTGGCTAAAATGCCATCAGAACGCTGATAATATAAAGTGTGTCTCAGCCCCCCCCCTTCAGTGTCCACCATATTGGATCAGTCCATTTGCTGCACATGTTCAGAAAGGTCCAAACAGACAGCAGCAACCAATACATATATTGGAACATACACTCACCGGCCACTTTATTAGGTACCCCATGCTAGTAACGGGTTGGACCCCCTTTTGCCTTCAGAACTGCCTCAATTCTTGGTGGCATAG